ATTATTATTAGAGATAGGTCTTGCTAGGTTGCCCAGGCTGGTCTCAAATTCCTGGCCTCAAATGATCCTTCTACCTCAGCCTTCCAAAGTGGTAAGCTTAGCCAGCCACAGCTCTATTTCAGATGTGCTGGAAAATTTTTTGCTGGAAAATCAGCACATCACCCCTACATAATGAAATGATCATAAAGGACAGGATGTAGTAGATGGTCCCATTCAGAAAGCAGTGGGGTGCATGGTAGTCACCCTCTGTAGACGCTCTGGTATCTACTAGTTATCACTGCCCCAGAGTCAACAACGCACTTGGATTAGGGTCCGGTTTTGCTCCCTCAGCTGTGATTCTTCTTGAGTCTTCCTTCCTTTTCTATAAGGAAGAGCCTGTATGTGCCTTTGAAGAGCTTTCTTAGTGTTCTCCCCTTACTGCTTTCCATAGAAGGCTGGGGGTCATAAGGCCTCTTTACATTTTGCACTGTCTTTAAGACTAAGCTAGTAAGTACCATTCCTGTAAATACTTTGTGAGGGCCTTTATGTAAATTTATAATCAATGCTATTGGATAAAAGCCACATCTCTTTCTGAGACAGCTCCTTCTCTCCCTGCCAGGCTGCTGGGAGTCTTAAAAGCCTTCCTGTCTAACTGAGAGGGTCTACAGAGCACACTCTGAAGACTGTTTGGCGCCACATGAGATACACTTACAGAAGATTGTTCCCAAAGGGTCACAATCATGTCCTGAAGATCTTTACCCTAAGACCAAGCTTCAGTGATTGTAACCTGAACTTTACCTTTGTTCTGAAACAATTTTTCTTTGTATGTCTTTTTTTGGGAGGGTGTAAGGATAAGAATGTTTTATTTTGGAGCCCATAGGAACTTTTATATTTCCTCTACATTTGGCTCAAAAAGTTAATTAGTTTCATCACTGGTTTATGTCTCTCTTATATTTTAACATAGGCAGCTAGAAGAAATCAGTTGTCACTTTCTACTTTCTGCCTAGACATTTCCCTAGCTAAGTGCAGGAGTTCTTTGGATACCCCTTCCATTTCCATGTTAACCTGTGGTGACGGTTTTACCCAGTCACTTTCTGGCATGACATTACAAGGGTCCTCTCTTCTTTGACCTCCAATAACATTGTCCTCACTGTTCTTTAAGTCTTCACAGTCACTTTGAAGCCCTTACAGCATCTGCCTGACTCTAAAGCCAAAGCTACATGTTGGGTTATTGTTATGTTAACTGAAGAATCACAAGGTTCATGAGTTTCGAGTGGAGAGCTGTTTCTTATAAAGGTTTGCAACTGTAGGTTGGCCATCCTGCAGGCTGGGACGCATAACTTCTGGCAGCAACTGGAAGAAGGTACTGCAAGGGAGGGAGGGGCAAGACAGGAAGTGCTGCTGAAGGAGTTGGCTAAGTCTGCATGTTCAACAGATACAGAAGGAGCTGTGACTATTCAGAAGGGACAACAGGCATGTTATGGACACCCCATGTTCACTTTGGGGTGGATGCTTGACATTCATCCCCACATAAAGTCATGGAAAGTAAACGACCTGATGCTGAATGACAGCTGGGTCAAAGAGGAGAAAAAAAAGAAATCATTAGATTCCTTGAACAAAATAACAATAAAGCCACAAGTTATCAAAACCTGGGGGACACTGTAAAGCAGTCCTAACGGGGAAATTTATTGCATTAAATGCCCACATCCAAAAACCAAAGCATACAAATCAGCAACCTAATTAATCATCTCAAGGACCTGGAAGAGGAAGGGCAATCCAACCCCAAACCTAGCAGAAGAAAAGAAATTACCAAAATTAGATCAGAATTAAATGAAATCCGAGAACAAAAAAACTATTTGGAAGATTAACAAAATACAAAGTTAGTTCTTTGAAAAGATAAATAAAATCGATAAACCTTTAGCAAGGTTAACTGGGATTCCTTTTTTTTTTTTTTTTGGTGAGTTTTTTAGTTATTCATTTATTTTAAATTTCAAATTAATATGAAGGAAGGAAGTTTTAGGTTATATTCTCACTTCCAAGGTAAAGTTCAAGTTTTAGGAGAGCCCCTTACCCTGGGGGTTGTGCTGAATACCCTTGTATTGTACACGTTAGGTGAGATCCCACTAATTTCCCTCTGTCCTCCACCCATCCTGCCTCTTCCCCACTCCCTTTCTTCTCACCCCTCCCCCTTGCTAGGCTATATTGTGCTTTATCATTTGTGTGAGTGTGTAGTTGTTTATATATTGATTTCATATTAGTATTGAGTACATTCGATACTTTTGATTCCATTCTTGAGATACTTGACTAAGAAGAATGTGTTTCAACTCCATCCAGGTAAATATAAAAGATGTAACGCCTCCATCTTTTTTATGGCTGAATAGTATTCCATAGTATACATCTAGCACAGTTTGTTAATCCAGTCATGGGTTGATGGGCGTCTGGGTTGCTTCCATGACTTGGCAATTATGAATTGAGCTGGAATAAATAAACATTCTGGTGCACATTTCGTTGTGGTAAAATGATTTTTGTTCTTCTGGGTAGATAACTAGTAATGAAATGGTGAGATCAAATGAAATGTCAACTTTTAGTTCTTTGAGAATTCTCCATACTTCTTTCCATAAAGGTTGTAGTAGTTTGCAATCCCACCAGCAGTGTAGAAGTGTTCCTTTCTCTCCACATCTATGCCACCATCTGCAGTTTTGGGACTTTGTGATGTGGGCTATTCCCACTAGGGTTAGGTGATATCTCAGGGTGGTTTGGATTTGCATTTCTCTCATGATTAAAGACAATGAGCATTTTTTAATGTGTTTGTTAGCCATTCATCTATCATCTTCAGAGAAGTTTCTCTTGCCCACATAGAAATGGGGTTGTTCTTTTTGTATTGATTAAACTGAGTTCTTTGTAGGTTCTAGTCATCAGACCTTTGTTGGACTCAGAACATGCAAAAATCTTCTCCCATTCTGAAGGCTGTCTGTTTGCTTTGTTTGTAGTACCCTTAGCTGTGTAAAAACTTTATAGCTTGATCAAATCCCAGTTATTTATTTTTGGTGTTGCTGCAATTGCTTGGGGGGAGGGGTCTTTGTCATAAAATATTTTCCCAGGTCAATATGGGGTTCATTTTCTTTTTGAATTTTACTTTCAGTTGTCTTAGTTTGAAGGTTTTTTTTTTTTAATATTCTTTTTTCTTCTTTTATTTATTTATGTTTTTATTGAGACAGAGTCTCACTTTGTGGCTCTCAGTAGAGCACTGTAGCATCATAGCTCACAGCAACCTCCAACTCTAGGGCTTAAGTGATTCTCTTGCCTCAGCCTCCCAAGTAGCTGGACTATAGGCACCTGCCACAACACCCAGATTTTTTTTTCTTTTTTGGTAGAGACAGGGTCTCACTCTGGCTCAGGCTGGTCTTGAACCTCTGAGCTCAGGGCAATCCACCCATGGCTTCCCAGAGTGCTAGGATTACAGGTGTGAGCCACCACACCTGGCTGGAGTTCATTTTCTAAGGACATTAATCCCATTCATGAGGGATCCACCTTTACACATATCACCTAATCACCTGTCAAAGGTCCTACCTCCTAATATCATCACCCTGGGATAAGAGTCATCATATGAATTTGGGGGGCAGGGATGTGGGGATAGTTTAAAATCCCTTCTAAACACCTCAACTAAACAAATTCCTAACACATTTATGTTCAGAATCCACTGAAAATCCATTAAGCAGTATCTCCTGAGCTAGGCTTTAAAAGTAGTCTTTAAAAACAGCAAATACACATATTCATACACCCCATTTAATTGCTGGGACCTTAGTTAACCCAAATATATAGAAATACAGAACCATGTCACATAGCCATTCTTACTGACATATAATTCTGTTGAATTTTCTAATTTAGTGCTTTTCTTTTTTTTTTCTTGAGTGAGTGAGTCTTGCTCTGCTGCTCAGGCTAGAGTGCCATGGCATTGTAATAGCTCAAACTCTTGGGCTTACATGATCCTTCTGCCTCAGCCACCTGAGTAGCTGAGACTATAGGCATGTTCTACCATGTCTGGCTAATTTTTGTGTTTTTGGTAGAGATGGGATCTTGCTCTTGCTCAGGCTGGTCTCAAACTCCTGATCTCAGGAGGTCCTCCTACCTCGGCCTCCCAAAGTGCTAGCATGATGAGAGCCACTCCACCCAATTTTCTAATTTAGTAAAGACAGGGTGGGTAAAGCACTTTACTGAGTGCCTGAGATCCAGGCTATCCACTGTTGGAATGAGAAGATGCCTGCTGAAGAGGCATCCTTTTCAGTGATAGGAAACTATTCTTATTAGGAATTTTAAAATAGTGTACTTTTTTTAACTGTGAGAAATCTTTTATTTAAATTTGCCAAATGTTTGGTGGTATATGTTTGTGCCAGATAATGATAATGGTGTGTCTGTTAAGTGATTTGTTTACAAATATTGAGGATCTAAGGAGTTTTAGGATACTTACTTTTCCAGGTTTTTGTGTTAATTCAAATTAAAGTTGTCATTTAAGTGTCACTATTGAATATTATAAATTTGATATTTATAGAATAATAGCAGGATATACATTTTTTCAAAGTACACATAGAATATTTACCAAGAATACAGTCTTTGAAAATGTACAAGAATACTTACCCCCAAAAGATCACCAAATTGATATGTAAAGGGGGCGGGGAAGGAAGTTTAAGTAAAATTAAAACTTTGCTTGAAAAAACTCTCTTTTCTTCCTAATGGTTCAGTTTGGGAAGCTGTTAATAGGGAGTGAGAGAAGCTGGCTTGTGACTTAATAGATATCAACTATTTCAATTGTTATAAATTGAACTTTATTTCTATTTAAAACTAAAAAATAGATCAAACTGTAACTTGGGCTAGAGACAGTGGCTCACACCTGTAATCCTAGCACTCTGGGAGGCTAAGGTGCACAGCTTTATAAAAAAAATAGAAAAATTAGCTGGGCATGGTGACCTATGCCTGTAGTCTCAGCCACTTGGGAGGTAAAGGTGGGAGGCCCAGAGGTGGGGCCCCAGAGTTTGGGGCCACAGTGAGCTATAGTGACACCACTGCACTCTAGCCTGCACTCTAGCCTGGGTGACAGACTGAGACTCTATCATGAACAAACAAACACCTAATCCAAAAATTCTAATATGCAACATGGCATTCAGGCTTATCAAATTGTAAAGTTATTACTTAGGAGAGAGAATTTCTGCTGTTTATCTAGAATGTAGAAAGAATTTGAAGTTTGTAGTTATAGTAACTACTATATATATATATAATATATATTGTATTCTAAGCACAAATTTTCAAAGAATTAAAACATTATATACTGTTATATACTATATTTAATGAAAATTATACTGGGTATGTATATATACATTTATATCTTTTTATGATTCAGAAACAATAATGCCTAAAACTATTATAGGGTATGTTAATCATGAGTTAATATAAGCCATGATCTTGATTTTAAAAATATTTGCTTGTAGTGTAACTTCATGAAGCATTGTTATCTGTCCTAGCAGATTTTAACATTAAATGCGTTTATCTTAAAGGAGGAATATCATAAACGTAACTTCATGGAAGTGCTCTCTCCCAATGTGTACAACAGTAAACTCTGGGAAGCCTCTGGCCACTGGCAGCATTACAGTGAGAACATGTTTGCTTTTGAGATTGAAAGGGACACTTTTGCTCTTAAACCCATGAATTGTCCAGGCCACTGGTGAGTATTAAAAGTGAAGCAGATCTTTGTATAAACATGTATAGCATACTTCACCATCATTCACTTTTTATATTATTTTGCTGTTTGGAATTAGGTGATATCTTTATTTTTTAATTTTTTTTATTTTTTGGAGATAGAGTCTTACTACATCACCCTTGGTAGAGTGCCATGGTGTCACTGCTCCCAGCAATCTCAAACTCTTGGGCTTAAGCAGTTCTCTTGCCTCAGCCTCCCAAATAGCTGGGACTATAGGTGCCCGCCACAACGCCCAGCTATTTTTTTGTTATAGTTGTCATTGTTGTTTAGCAGGCCTGGGCCGGGTTCAAACTCAGCAGCCCAGTGTATGTGGCTGGCACCCTAACCCCTGAGCTACAGGCACCGAGCCTAAGTGAGATCTTTAATTTGAAGAGTGGTGGTTACTAACTATCTTTAGCAAGTTGTTTTGTTCTAGAGAATGAATTTGCTTTTAAAAATATTTCCTCTGTGGCTTGGCGCCTGTAGCCTGGGATTTAAACTAAGACTAAATAGACAGTGTAATTTTGTCTTTTGACACCTCAGAATAAGAAGCAGGACCACAGTGGCTTAGGGGTGATGAGACATAGGGACCAGGAGGGCTTCTGCAGAAGAGCAGTCTATCGTGCATCAGAGAACATTAGTTGAGTGCTTCCCAGGGTTGGTACTGGAAGTGCAGAGGCAATTATGGCACCATTCATTCCCTCAGGGAGCTCATGAGTGGAATGTGCAGGGACAGATCTGCAGACAGTTATTAAAAAAGTGGAGCCAGAGCCACAGTGGTGGTACATTCAAGGTATTTCTGGAGTTTAAAGAGAGACTGATAAATCTAAAGGGGAAGTGTCCAGGAAGGCTTCTTTTAAGAAGTAGCTTTAGAAATGAAGTATGAACAGTAAGTGAAGATTCACTGAGTGGATCAGGACAGGGAACAGCACTTCTGGGAAAAGATGTTAGAGAAGAGTCTTTTTCAGAGTGCTGCAGTGATGTCTATGCAGGATTCAAAATTTTTTTCTTGGTGATGTGAGAACCAGTATAAGGCGTTTACAAATCTTGAGGCTTAATTATAATTTCTTAATATTTAGATGATTATTTGTCTTTTCTGTGCTGTGGAAAAGCTGTGTTATTACATCTCTTCTAGTCTAATGTTTGCCCATCATCCACGATCTTGGAGGGAAATGCCTATTAGATTCGCTGATTTTGGAGTTCTGCATAGAAATGAACTGTCGGGGACTTTAAGTGGCTTGACCCGAGTCAGGCGCTTCCAGCAGGATGATGCTCACATCTTTTGCACAGTGGAGCAGGTAAACAGTGACACAGGATGAAAGCATATCATAGATTCTGCATGTCGCCTTGAATATATGTTGTGGTTTTTCAGAGATGCTGTAAAATAAGATGTTTGGTTTAGTCTCTGAGGTCTCATTTGGCTGTAACCTCTTGTGAGTCTCTAAACTGGGGCAATAGACTGATAATCTCTTGACGTGAAATTTATAATTTTTTCCTTTAGCTTCTCTGATTATTTTATTAACTTAAATTCCATTAAGTGGAATATTTTAAAGGATTTGGTGGAACTTTTTCAATATTGCCTAGAATTTAAATTTTACTTTTAAAAAAGTAATTAATTAGCATTAGTAAAAGTATTAATTCAAATTAAATTCATAACATACAAGATCATCATCAATCAATTTGACTGAACTGACATCAATAGAACAGCAGAAGAATACACATTCTTTGAAAGCATACGTAGAATATTTACTAAGATGGACAACATTTGGAGCCAAAACCCAAGTCTCAGTAAATTTAAAGGGATTCAATTAAAGCAAATGTTCTCTGACCACAGTGGAATTAAATCATAAATGAACAACAGAAAGCTATTTGGGAGAATACCCAAACATTGGTAAAGTAAATGATATACTTCTAAATAATCCCTGGGCTAATGAAGAAATCCAGGGTGAAATTAGAAAATATTATATAATAAAGGAAAATGAAAACACACTAAAATTTGTGGGATGCCATTTAAGTGGTAGTTGGAGGGTTGTTTATAGCACCAAATGCTTACTTTAGAAAAGAAGAGATTTAAATCAGCACCTCAGCCTAAGTTAAGAAACTAGAAAAAGAAGAGCAAATCATATCCAGTGTGAGCAGAAGTCATTGAAATAGAAAAAAAGAAAATGGAGAATATCAATAAAAACCAAAGCTGGTTCTGTGAGATCAATAAAATTGGTAAACCTTTGGTCAGACTGATTAGGAAAAGAAGAAAAGACATAATTTATTTGTTTGTTTGTTTGGGATTCAGTGAGGGCACAAAGAATTGAGTTACACTGATTACCAGGTAAAGTCCCTCTTGTAATTGTGTCCCACTCCCAAGAGGTGTACCATATACCATGATCCCTTCATCCCCCTCTCTCCTCCCCTTTCCCCACTGCCTCATTCCTCTGCCTGCCACCTTGTGTTAGCTCATCTACTACCTTCATATTAGAATTGACTACATTGGATTCTTGCTTCTCCATTCTTGTGATGCTTTACTAGGAATGTGTTCCAACTCTATCCAGGTTAATACAAAGATGTAAAGTCTCCATCTTTTTATTGGCTGAATAGTATTCCATGGTATACATTGTTAATCCATTCCTGGGTTGGTGGGCATTTAGGTTGTTTCCACAATTTGGCAATTGTAAATTGAGCTGCGATGAACAGTCTAGTACAAATGTCCTTATGATAAAATGATTTTTTTTCCTTATGGGTAGATGCTTAGTAATGGAATTATAGGATCAAATGGGAGGTCTAATTTGAGTTCTTTGAAGATTCTCTATACTTCTTTCCAAAAAGGTTGTATTAGTATACTCTACGCTGGCAGTGTAAAAGTGTTCCCTTCTCTCCACATCCACACCTGCAGCTTTGAGACTTTGTGATATAGGCTGTTCTCACTGGGGTTAGGTGATATCTCAAGGTGGTTTGGGTTTGCATTTTTCTTTTCTCTTTTTTTTTTTTTTTTTT